TTCAGCAATATATTGTTCATGTTGATATTGCGATGCTTTATGCGCTTACTATGCAAATACTCAATACCAGCGAGAGAGAGAGAGAGAGAGAGAGAGAGAGAGAGTTATAAAAGTTAGTCTATTAAACTGTAAGTAAAATGTATTATTTTAATTATATATAACTAGTGTTGAAATAGAATTAAATTCGGATCGTTGAAAAATTCCGCTGTAAATTTTTTGTTGTAGAATATTGATTGTATTTGCTAATATAAATAAATTTATTTGGGTATATTTATACAATAAATTACAGCATTTAAAAATTTTAATATTTATTGGTTTAAATAATTATAACAATTTTATATATAAATATTTTTCAAATAAAATGTTTCAAATCATTTATTTTTTGTATTTATTAAATTTAAATATTGGTAATATTATTCATCGAAAATGAAAACATTTAATAAGTAATTTATTTTATATAATAGATAATAAGAATTAAATCTAATATCAAATATATTAAAATTTCCATAAAGTTATAAGAATAATAAGATCAGTAAATCATTCATTGAATAAAAATAGCGTTAAATGTCAGTGAAATTAATAGAAAATAAGCAAAAATACAAAATAGTATTGAATAAAAATTGATTTTACAGAAAAAGGATTAAATACTGAAAAATAATTGTCTGTAAAACAAATCAAACAACGATTACTTTCTAAGTCTGAATTCAATATAAAACGGTTCAATACAATAGCTGTCGTCGGCATCAAAAGCTCCATACGATGTAAAGTATTCGTCAGTTTGACGGCCAAACCCGACAACACCTCTGCGGCCAAACGCCTGTACCGTCGGTGACATCACTTCCGGAGCTCTCATATGATTGGGTGGACTCGCCATAGACTCCCTGCCATCGCCGCCGCCAAACAGCTCTAACTGCATGTGAAGTGTTTCACCACTTTCGATGCCATAGAGTGTCGTGTAGTGACCAACCGTGCGATCCTCAGGCACTAGTAGTCGGCCCCAGGAGTCATGTAGTCTAAAACGACTCGTCCGTATGCCTACTCTGTCCTCAATAATAACTTTCATATCATGTATAGTGTTATCCAAACCGATGGCAAAGTCAATGCGATTTCCAAACAATGGTTGGGCCGATAACTGTATGACTGGACCCAACAGTTGGACAATCGGTGCACTCTTTTCCACTTCCAGTTTGAATTGAATGCGCGAACAAATCATTTCGGCCTTCGGTCGGTCTATGCCAGGCCTGAGCAGTCGGGGTAAACCATAAGTGTAAATTTGTTGAATATTAGGACTATTATTTATATATACGGTACAATATTATAGCAAAAGGTTTTAGTTATTTAAATGAATATTTAGACACATAATAAGTAATTCGCAACATTTATGGTAAAATTTATTTGTTTACTAACCACTTGTCTATACCATTGGCCACTAAATCGACCACTAATTGAGCCATCGGTAGGTTAGGGCTCAGGAAACGCAAGTGATGTCCACTACTTTCAAGCGCTTTGAGTGCCATTCGCTGTCCTTTAATGACAACAAACTTATATTTCTTGCCATAAATCAAATTCAATCTCATATTCTTAGCGACGGATCGGTTGTCGACAACGATCTCGAAGTCGATGTCATTGTCGTCAAAGAGGGCCACAAATGTCTTCACATCGTTTGACACACCATTCGTGAGTTGAACCATACGTTTGACTCCATTGCTGTCCACTTGTCTTATATTTAAGGTAAAGTCAATCAGCGATTTGTCGGTGATTTGAATGGTGTGGTCAGCGATCACTGGACTCAACACCACTTTGTCGGACATCGCGTTAATAGACAATAGTTTTGCGTTAAAATCAGTTCAAAATATTTTGCAAATAACGAAAACTCAATTTGAAAACAACAACACTTTTGTGAGTTTTTCAGCAAAGGTTTCGTATTATAGTTAAAACAGTGTTAACTTACTTTACAGTTTTATAATAGCATTTTTGCTTTGGTATTAAATGTGATCCTACCGTATAAAATTAGTAATTTCAAATTACAATTAAATGTTTAATATACAGTTTACCGAGTTGCTAATTTATTTAATGTATCATTTTGTACATTAGCAATATAAATCGTTTGGTGCAAGGTATGTTTTTTATTTTT